ATGCTTTTTAGTGATCCATATCTTTACTGACAAATGGGTATTGCTTTTGTTTTTTAAGCAACCTCATGTTTTCGTCTGTACAGTTGTAAGATAGATTATAAGGGTTTTCTTTATTTTGTATTGTTTGTGTGTTTTATGAATAATTTTGGTGGATCTGAGACCAGGGAGTTTTGTGTTGGTGTTTTATTTGGTAATGAATTTGATTGTGATATAAACAGTCAAAAAAGAAGGTGAAATTTCGTTAAATCATATTGTTTGATCCGGGTTAATAAGATCCATGGAACAAGTAATTGGTGGCAAGTTTAAGCTGGGTCGGAAGATCGGGAGTGGTTCGTTTGGGGAGCTTTATTTGGTGTGTATGATTTTTGTTAGTAGCATTGTTCTGTTAGAGTTTTAAGCTTGTAGGTTGTTTGTGTTTTTGTTGCTTGAGTACGTTTTAATGGTGGTCTGGATTGATTTGTTGTAGGTGTGAATGTGCAAAGCGGTGAGGAAGTTGCTGTTAAGCTGTATGTTGTAGACTTTTATACTATTGTAATCTTCTTAATTTTTTGGATAGTTTGATTTTTTTTCTTTTTTTGGGATGGTGAGCGATCATTTATTTGATGGTAAAATTATTGATTTTTTATATTCTTTTCTTAGTTTAATTCATTGAGTGACTATTGGCTGTGTTGTGAAGATTAATTATTGTTTATGAGTGGATGAAAGAATGGCTATTGAATAATTTAACTTTGAGAGTTATTCCCTTTTGGTGTGCTAAGTTAGATACTTCTTGATTTCACATGGATGATCTTCTATAATAGATATCATACTACTGAGTTAGCATTTAACTGAGCAGGTTATATAATGAAGTTTATTATATGGGGATGTACTTGATAGTTTTCTTCAGTGGTTTGTATAATAAAGATCTGAAAAGAGAAAATGATTATTTTTTTGCAATGAAGTAGACTTTAGTTTTTGCCTATCTTCATTTGTCTTCCTTTTTTCTTTGTCCAGGAGTCGGTGAAGACCAAGCATCCTCAGCTTCACTATGAACCAAATTGTACATGCTGCTTCAAGGAGGAATAAGTTTCTTGTATAGCTATTTTTCCGGAGTAAAATTTATACGGGGTCATTCTATTTCTGTGATTGAACTCAATATACTTATTTGACTGTTTTGTTATTTATTTGATATTTTTGTTGCTGTGAAGCGGGTATACCCATCTTAAATGGTTGGAGTTGAGGGCGAATATAATTGTCATGGTTATTGACCTTCTTGGACCTAGCCTGGAAGACTTGTTTAATTATTGTAATCGGAAGTTCACTTTGAAAACAGTCTTAATGCTTGCAGATCAGTTGGTAAATCTGCCAATGCTCTCAAGAAACTTTTTTGTGGTTCATGTAGTTGCCATACTTATGTTTTTTTTTTTTTTGTTGTGTTTGATAGATAAACAAGTTGAGTATATGCACTCTCGTGGTTTTCTTCACCGTGATATAAAGCCTGACAACTTTTAATGGGTTTAGGGCGCAAATCAAATCAGGCATGTTAAATGATTTATTACTTTCATATTTAGTTGCTTGTGCTATCTAACATTGGAATTTTTTCTTGGAACAAGATTGATAATTCTGTTGAGAGTTTCGATGTGACTCCTACTAGAATATTTAGTTTTTGAGATGTAAATATCTGTAAAACTCTTTTGGCTGGAATATTGGTTGCTGTAGTAATAATTTGTGGAACAATGCTGAAAGGAAAAACAAGAGCCATTAGTTTATTGTGGATTATTTGAATCATTCAGGTGGGGGTTTGGCTTTAACCTCAAGCATGATTGTACGAATTTGTGTGCCTGACTACCTGTCTCACATACTGTATGTCACCTTATGTGGCATATGACCCAAATATTAGATTATTATATGTATTAGTTGGGTGGTTCTGCACTCTTAGTACACTACAACCACGAGTATCTGTTTCCTGTAGAAAGACATCCATTCAGCAGACTAAGTATAGATATTTGTAGACGTGGGATTTTATGGAATTTCAACAATTTTAAAAATTTGAATTTTTTTACTATGGTAAGATTTTTGTTTATGAAATTTTGGCTGTCAATTTTGTCACCAATTGTGCTTGTTATTAATGCAAGGAAGATATTTATGGGAAAAAGATCAGGCATGAAAAAGATAAGGAAATCTGGCATAGAAGTTCTCTGACTTTCAGTTTATTCAAGAAGCTGACCTATTGTAGGTTTAGGGTTAATGTGAGGTTTGGAGTACAAGTTGTAGCAGTGTTACATGTGGAAACTAGTTAGTACTACGAAAATTTTTAGTCAAAGATGTCATTTGAAATTTGAGACTTTCTAAGAAATTTAAGATCAAGAAAGAGATGCAGTTTGAGATAGAATTCGATTGGAATAAAAGATTTGCAAAAGCGAGAACAAGCATCTACAGTTATAGAGGAGGATTTCAATTATAAGAGGGAGACTTTTTAGGAACTTTAAGATCAAGAAAGTGGCGAAGTGTGAGATAGAGTCACTTGGGATAAGACTTACAAAGGGTGAAGAATCGGCGCTGAATACTTAAATTAGTTGAATAGCGAAAGAATCACAAGGTTAAAAAAAAAAAAAAAAGAGACTTTGGACATCCTAAACAGTCTAGAATTCAACCCTAAAGTGTGCCCGGAAGGGAGGGGGAGGGATTTAATACTTTGGGAAATTATTTGTCAATCATCGTCACACGTGAACTGATCTGTTGCTAGAATGGTCCAACAAATATATCTGAATTGTGTGTGATGTCTACTACATCGCTTGTATACAGGTTACTACAGTCATTGATTAAATTGGCACTTGCCAACCACTGAAGACATATGAAGTGGTATTCTGTCAACAACACTGTCAAGTCCATATACCAGTACAGGAGGTACATAAATACATACTGGTGTTACAATCCTGTACATAATTACTCTCTTTCACATGTATTCGTTTTGTGTATATTAGAGCAGGTCTGTTTTCTTGGTCAACTTGTGCCACAAATATACTGCTTCCTTGTGTATCAAATAACAGACGTACAAGTGTAGTGCGTGGATGTGTTGGCTACAGAAAAAATGTGTGGCCTTCTAAAATGGGAGATGTACTGCGTGTGGTGTGCTGTAATACATAATGGGACAGGCACGGTTCAGTTTTACTCGTGTTGCATCATTGTGTAGCTTGTAATTGTGTGGTCTGTATGCACATCGGAAGTACGCTCAGTGTGTGTGAATCGTCAATGTGGGCTGGAGGAAAGTGTAGAAAGTCAAGACAGCCCTAGTAACTTAGACAAGTAAAGGCTGTTTGAAGCGTACATGTCTGAAATAAAAGTTTAGGGATAAACTTGGTGGATGTTAAGGCAATAATATCTGTAACAGGCAAGAGGTAAATCTTGAAATGTAAATGTATCGAAAAACCGAAGAGCTACACATTAGATGTTTGACCGTGGATGTGCTAGTTATAGGGATAGATAAAGTACAGGAATAGACATCTGGGGGGTGGGGAATAGAATGGTGAGAATAATGGGTGAGGGGAAGGGGGAGAGAGGGGGGGAAGGACGTGTGTGCTGTGAAGCCATCGATCAAAGGTTTAATTAGGTGATTTTGTACTCAAGTGGGGTCATGGAATTCTGTCAGTGTGTTAAATAACTAGTGGTGCGGGGGTTATGTAAAGTCTTGCTTGGGGGGTAACGTTTGAATCCCAGTAGTAATTGGGCAACACGCGGAAGTTGTAAGTAACTTGTGTGGTAGTCGTGCATTGGTCAGGCGTGAGGATAATTGGGTATGTCATGGTTTACATATCCATCTGTCAAGGAATATTATATCTGGCATTTTGAAGTTCACTTATAGTTCCACAGTGATAATAGAAATGCAATGTCTGCCCCACTTAAGTTCTCATTTGAAAGCCTTTGGCATGTCTCTAATGAATATTCATTCTGTTATTTCACAGGGAAAATAAGAAGTCATTAAAGGAAGCAGATCGTGTGATAGCAGATGTAAACTACTCACGCTTGGATGGACCGTTGGGGGAGGAATTATGGTTAATTACTGAGGTTATTTCCCATTTAAGCACTTTGTTCTTGATATCTATTCAGATTCATCAAGCTTTTATTGTTCTAATGATGATTCTACTTTTCATTCAGAGCAAAGCAGAAGAGATGATCTGGAATCCCTTGGTTCGTGCTTATGTATTTTCTCGGGGAAGGTTTAACACATAACGAATCCTTTCACCTTTGTGTATTTATGTGACTTAGCCATATTTAACTTTGTTTTATTTCTCAGCCTTCCATGGCAGGGACTAAAAGCAGGTACCAAAAAGCAGAAATATGATAAGATTAGCGAGAAAAAGATGCTTACTCCATTGAGGTATACCAAGGACATCAGTTTGATGAAATATATGTGCACGGTCTCTTAGATTAGCAGTCAAATGTGTGTGTTTGTGGTTTGTCTGCTGTTAAATCTTAATACTCTCATATATAACAGTGATATGTTACCATCCAGGTTCTTGCAAAACCTATCCATCAGAGTTCACATGTACTTCCATTATTGCCGGTCATTGCGGTTTGAAGACAAACCTGATTATCATACTTGAAGAGGCTTTCGGGACTTGTTATTCGAGAAGGTTAATTTTTAAGTCAACAGTTCAAAATTATTTCTGGTTGTTGTTTTCATTAATGAGTTCTTGACCACACTGCAAATTTCTTTCAGGAGTAGCTTCCAAAACTAAAAATTAAAGTTCTACACTTACTGTTGCAGGTTATCAGTTTGATTACGTGTTTGATTGACATTTGAAGTATCCACAGACTGGTTCCAGTTCAAGAGCACGAGTCAGTATTCTTCTTCGTAATATTTATTATTATAATGGGAAACAGAAAAGAAAGAAGATTTATATCTTTTTCCTATTTCTTGGTACATGATGATCTTCTAATCTCTTCTTGCCTATTGTTTTTTCCATTCAACAGCCAGTGGAAACAAGCTTTGAATGCTGCAGGACCATCAGCTGAAAGATGAGAGGCCTTCAGGTCAGTTCTTTAAAGTTTGGTTCAGTTTGGAAAAAGTTTCGAGAATTAGAGCTGATAGATGCTTTAATTCTCCTAAGACTTGAGTAAGGCTTGGGCTCAAGTATGTGGTCTGTGCTTTGCTCGGATATGGGTTTTTTTTTCAGGTGTAATTTGTTTGATCACTTTGTACAGCTGAGGGATCTATAGATTAATTTGTTTTCTTAATCTCATAGTAATTTCTCTATTCTTTTTTTTTTTTTTTTTTTTTTTTAATTTGATGGATAATGAATAAACTTACAATGTTTAATATCTACTAGTAGGACAAGAGGTTCGAGATAGACTGTCTGGTGCAGTTGAAGCCTTTGTTAGACGGAATGCCTCTGGGCATGGTTTGCATGGTGATCACTCCAGGCACAGATCTTCTGAAGATGTGCCATCATCGAAAGATGTGGTAGAATTGCTTATGAATATTTTGTGTGCTTTAATTGTGCTTTTTTCTCCTTCCTTTTGGAGGAGAGATGGTTTTAAGGTTTACTTGAGACACTTTTTAATGCTCTTTTATTAGTGAAGTTTTACACTTTGTATCTAAACTATGATTTCTCAGCAAGCTGATTCCGAAAGGGCTCGCCCTATCTCGAAATGGAAGTTCTTCAAAGAGGGTTGTCTTAGGAAACAGCCGACCAAGCCTCTGGTGAACCCAGTGAGAAATCGGTCAAGCCGACTGGTTTCAAGCAGTGGTCGGCTGTCTACAACTCAAAGGATACAGCCTGGTTTGATTCCAAATCATCATCTTTTGCTCGTACTGCAAACACAAGAAGTGGTCGTGATGATGCACTTCGGAGCTTCGAGCTCCTGACAATGGCAGGGAAAGAGGAAATAAAGAACATACTCCCATCTGGTGAAGAAAATTGTGTTGGTGGGTGAAATTTTCTTTATGGCTCCTATCAAGATCCCCAGTACTGTAATTTTTTTACAGTACTCTGTATATGTGTATCCATTACTGGACCTTATCCCTCTGCAGCCATAGCTTCACAAATCTTATCCTATGAAAAAAAAAAAAAAAAAAAAAAAACATCAAACCGCACGCGTCTCTGTATCTTTATGAGGGATTCTTGCCAGATTCATGCCATTATTATAAGTGCTATCAAACTCGCGAGAGGAAGACAAAATGATTTCACTCTAGAGAATTGTTCATAAATTTGAAGCACTAATAAACCAACTTTGTTATATTCTTTCGGGAAGAAAAAACTTTGTTAAAGATATCTACCTGTACTCTTTTATCTGTAACTGTTTACATTGTGTCATGTGAGTCTCTCTGTATTAGAGGTATTTCGTTTTAGATTTTTGTTTAATCATCGCCTACCACTTTTTAAACTTTTTTATGGTGCAGCTCACTTTGAATTGACAAAAGGTTTTGCTTTTTGTATTTTGTATCATTATTTTGTCACCCACTAAACTGACACTCGGTGCTTAGCATGTGTAACTCCACATCAACTTTTAATCTTCTGTTCCATTTATAATGCAATCATGCTTGCTCAGGTAAAAGAGTTTATTTTTAATTAAATAACCAAATTATTGACGTTGAAGATGAAGAGTGGAGACACGGAGAATATTGAGGATCCCGAGACGCAATAAGAGTTATTTTATTAATGAGTAATATTAAGTCTTCAATTCAATTTTTTAATCTTTTTTTATAACTCTAACAGGACAGTTGAGTTAATAATTATTACGTTAACTCTTGTTACACTTAAAACATTAAATGATATTAATTAAATACAAATAGTCAGTTCTTAGGAATAAACCATCTTTTTTCATAATAAATGATTGTTCAAGGAATGATCGTTCTTTCCTAAGCAATGATTTTTTTTTATGAATGAAACAATAATTCCTTATAAATGAATGGTCACTCGTCCTTAAGAAATGATCGTTTATGTTGAGTTAAAGTCGTCAGTTGACGTGGTAATGTTAACTCGATTATTATGTTAGGGTTATAAGAGAAAGTTGTGAGATTAGTTAAAAATGTTATATTTTTGTATTACTTAGGCACGTTTAAAAATTGAACGGAATTTGAAACTTATAACAATACTCATTTTTAACAACCACAAGTGACCTGATAGTAAAAAAACAAAACAAAATCTAAGTTTATATAATTTCCCAAGTTTGAGTCTTTACGATTGTTAATAAGAGTGACCAGTATTATTAAGATTTTGGATTAAATTCCACCACTATTATGATAAATTTGAAAGGCAGCTTATAGCCTTAAGAGAAACTATAATTTGTGTTTAACCAATCAAATTTGACTATCCCTAGAATTTGAGCAAACTTTAGGCTCATTATAAAAAAGTATGATTAACAATATAATATATTATCAACATAAACCTCATATTTTACAATATTTAAATTTATGATACTATATTAAAAAAAAAAAAATCCTTAAAATATTCTTTCCACCGTTCATAATGATGGCTCATTATCACCAAATCAAAGTAAAATAAATATGTCCAACCGTCCAGAATATTTTTATTTTTAGATATAAAAAATTAAAATTTATTGATATTATTAAAAAATAGTAAAAAATACGGCTTTATCGATCATAAGCATGAATTTTTAATAACTAAAAAATAATAACAAAAATCCATTAATATCATCCGTTTTTTGATTCATCAATCTATCATGTCTATCACCATTTCCCTTCATTTTCTCTTCAATTCCTCTTCTCTCTCTCCTAATATCCTTTTCCTCACTTCTCTAATATTTTCTCGAGAAAATTCTAACTTTAACTTTAACTCTACTCCAACTCATCCTTGTCCCGAACCCAATCCATTCTACTTCCCAAATTCTTGCCACGAATTTCCTTTGTTTTAGATTCTCCTCTGTCTATTTTTTTTTTTCCTTCACAAAACAAAAAATAATAAAAATTCCTTCTTTATCCATTTATCCCCTTCCAAATCCCATCCTTTTTCCCTCTGAAACTTTCTCAAATATGCATTTTAGTGATCCATATCTTTACTGACAAATGGTATTGCTTTTGTTTTTTAGCAACCTCATGTTCGTCTTGTACAGTTGTAAGATAGATTATAAAGGGTTTTCTTTATTTTGTATGTTTGTGTGTTTTATGAATAATTTTGGTGGATCTGAACCAGGAGTTTTGGTTGTGTTTTATTTGTAAATGAATTTGATTGTGATATAAACAAGTCAAAAAAAGAAGGGTGAATTTCGTTAAATCATATTGTTTGATCCGGGTTAATATAGATCCATGGACAAGTAATTGGTGGCAAGTTTAAGCTGGGTCGGAAGATCGGAGTGGTTCGTTTGGGAGCTTTATTTAGGTGTGTATGATTTTTGTTAGAACATTGTTCTGTTAGAGTTTTAAGCTTGTAGGGTTGTTTGTGTTTGTGCTTGAGTACGTTTTAATGGTGTTCTGGATTGATTTGTTGTAGGTGTGAATGTGCAAAGCGGTGAGAAGTTGCTGTTAAGCTGGTATGTTGTAGACTTTTATACTATTGAATCTTCTTAATTTTTTGGATAGTTTGATTTTTTTTCTTTTTTTGGGATGTGAGCGTCATTTATTTGATGGTAAAATTATTGATTTTTTATATTTCTTTTCTTAGTTTAATTCATTGAGTGACTATTGGCTGTGTTGTGAAGATATATTATTGTTGAGTGGATGAAAAGATGCTTTGAATAATTTAACTTTGAGAGTTATTCCCTTTTGGTGTGCTAAGTTAGTACTTCTTGATTTTCACATGGATGATCTTCTATAATAGATATCATACTACTGGAGTTAGCATTTAACTGAGCAGGTTATATAATGAAGTTTATTATATGGGGATGTCTTGATAGTTTTCTCAGTGGTTTGTATAATAATCTGAAAGAGAAAATGATTATTATTTTTGCAATGAAGTAGACTTTAAGTGTTTTGCCTATCTTCATTGTCTTCCTTTTTCTTTGTCCAGGAGTCGGTGAAGACCAAGCATCCTCACTTCACTATGAATCCAAATTGTACATGCTGCTTCAAGAGGGAAGTAAGTTTCTTGTATAGCTATTTTTCCGGAGTAAAATTTATACAGTGGGTCATTTCTATTTCTGTGGATTGAACTCAATATACTTATTTGACTGTTTTGTTATTTATTTGTATTTTTTTGTTGCTGTGAAGCGGGTATACCCCATCTAAATGGTTTGGAGTTGAGGGCGAATATAATGTCATGGTTATTGACCTTCTTGGACCTAGCCTGGAAGACTTGTTTAATTATTGTAATCGGAAGTCACTTTGAAAACAGTCTTAATGCTTGCAGATCAGTTGGTAAATCTGCCAATGCTCTCAAGAAACTTTTTTGTGGTTCAGGTAGTTGCCATACTATGTTTTGTTTTTATTTTGTGTGTGATAGATAAACAGAGTTGAGTATATGCACTCTCGTGGTTTTCTTCACCGTGATATAAACCTGACAACTTTTTAATGGGTTTAGGCGCAAATCAAATCAGGCATGTTAAATGATTTATTACTTTCATATTTAGTTGCTGGTGCATATCTAAACATTGGAATTTTTTCTTGGAACAAGATTGTAATTCTGTTGAGAGTTTCGATGTGACTCCTACTAAATATTTAGTTTTGAGATGTAAATATCTGTAAAACTCTTTTGGCTGGAATATTTGTTGCTGTAGTAATAATTTGTGGAACAATGCTGAAAGAAAAACAGAGCCATTAGTTTATTGTGGATTTTTTTGAATCATTCAAGGTGGGGGTTTGGCTTTAACCTCAAGCATGATTGTACCATATTTGTGTGCCTGACTACCTGTCTCACATACTGTTAGTCACCTTATGTGGCATATGACCCATATAGATTATTATATGTATTAGTTGGTGGTTCTGCACTCTTAGTACACTACAACCACAGTATCTGTTTCCTGTAGAAAGACATCCTTCAGCAGACTAAGTAGATATATTTGTAGACGTGGGATTTTATGGAATTTCAACAATTTAAAAAATTTGAATTTTTTTACTATGGTAAGATTTTTGTTTATGAAATTTTGGCTGTCAATTTTGTCACCAATTGTGCTTGTTATTATGCAAGGAAGATATTTATGGGAAAAAGATCAGGCATGAAAAAGATAAGATGAAATCTGGCATAGAAGTTCTCTGACTTTCAGTTTATTCAGAACATGACCTTTGTAGGGTTTAGGGTTAATGTGAGGTTTGGAGTACAAGTGTAGCAGTGTTACATGTGGAAACTAGTTAGTACTACAGAAAATTTTAGTCAAGAGATGTCATTTGAAATTTGGAGACTTTCTAAGAAATTTAAGATCAAGAAAGAGATGCGTTTGAGATAGATTCATTGGAATAAAGATTTGCAAAAGCGAGAACAAGCATCTACAGTATGATAGGAGTATTCAATTATAGAGGGAGACTTTTAGGAACTTTAAGATCAAAAGTGGCGAAGTGTGAGATAAGTCACTTGGGATAAGACTTACAAAAGGGTGAAGAATCAGGCCTGAATACTTAAATTAGTTGAATAGCGAAAGAATCACAAGGTTAAAAAAAAAAAAAAGAGACTTGGCCATCCTAAAAGTCTAGAATTCCACAATGTGCCTTCGATGAATCTTTGTGAATTAATTTGCAAATGTGTTCGATG